ATGGGACAAGGACCTACCGATAAAACATTTTCTTCATGAAATGTGCTGTGAGACTTTTAACAAGCACAACTAATCAAAACCTTGCATTTTCAGACAATCAAAAAATAGCAAACATCAGTCAATAATGATTGTAGTTCTGATTCTCAAGAAAATTTACTACCAAAACGTATACTTGTAAGAACATCCCTGATGCACTCACATCATATAATTGTATAATGCTAAATTGAAGATTTAGCATTATTTTGGACTCACATAAGCAATAAATGACGTCACAAGAGTGTTTCTTTTTTTTTTTTTTAAACAAAATATTTTTAAAAGCATAGTGAGTATACTATTCTGGCTTTTATGTTGGAAGTGATGTCCCAGCAGGCAGGGAACTCTTTACCTTAGTTTTCAGGAAGACTGGTAAAGTAGCAGTCAGTCTTTTTAAGATTATTTTAACATACAACTGAGAACACAATTCAACATGGATTCATGAAAGCCAGTGAATCCATATTCAGAACTTATAACTTAGCGTTCATGAGCTTATATGCACACAGATGTTTCTGCCTCCATAGGTCCAGTTTTCCACTCCCAAATTCAGCAAAACCATGTGTAAAATTCATTTTCTTATAAAGCTAAATAAAATCTTCTATTTAATTGACTAATCTTGCTTCCTGCCTGATTTGCCATTACAAGAATAATGTATTCATAAGGATAGGCATTTATTTAATGTTTTTGAAGGCGTTCCTTTTCTCAATTAACATTGCTTGCATCCATTCTTAGTTTTCCACTGCAATAAAATAGAAGATCAGTAGGTGTCCTCTATACTGTAAATGGTCCATGCAGAATTCACCTGAGACTTTAAGTATGCTACCTTGAACACTTCAGCTTACTATTCAAGTTTTCTAGCAGTAACTGTCGGTTTAGTACAATGGATGCTCACATATTTGTTATGCATTGAGTGCATAATATTCTTTTTTCTCTATTATAATGGGTGAAGTTATTTAGTCTTCAGCAAAATTTCTGAAAATATATTAAAATGCCAAAATTTTCCATTTCTGTTCTCCTTGCTATTCCTGTCCTGTGTCCAAAGGAAAATCTGCCAGTTTGAACACCAACTGGATCAGCCCTTTTCCTGTCAGCGCCTCTCTTACACCCTTGTTTGATATGCTGCCTTGCATGTGGCAACTTTGGATTTTTTCTTGCTCTGGCACCAAATTCATGCTTTCTCAGAGAGGTAAGTGAAATACCTTTTAGATGTGATGTGGCAAATGGTCATGAAATTCATAGAAATCTCACTATGACACTGCCATTTCTACTACAAGGAAATATAATTTCTATAGTAAAAGACAATATTATAAACAAAGTACTAGAATCCTTTGCCAAATTATCATATTTTTCAAAATTGAGAATTGCTCATCCATCACAATACAGAAATTCAAAATCTTCAATTCCACTTGAAACTCAGCTCACCAGATGAAGACATGTTATATGTTATACATTATCACAACTACCTTGTTGTTTTTACATAGACTGCAATTAGAAAAATTCAGCTCATCATTATATGAGAAAAATAATTAATTGTAAAATCCATTCAGGGGAAAAATATATATATATCCTGGCTTCTAGGATTCAAACTCCATTGTCTACAACAGAAAAAATGTAGATACTCTATTTTCTGACTATGCTGTTTGCAAGGTCACCTTGTCCAGGTGAATTTAAATTGCATAATTAGGAGTAATTTAGCTGCAGAATGCAACAAACAAACAAAACAAAACCAAAAAACCCACCGAAAGTTTAATATTTCATAGGCTTTAATTTTTGTAGGTTTTTTGAGAAAATATTTACATATTTCATCAAACTGTGAGTCAGTACTCTATTGTTCCCTCCTATGGCTCCCGTAAACGAGGTAGAAGAAAGTACCAAAGGTAATTTAGTATGCAGGATGAGGAAATGGTAGAAAAAAACTGCTACCAAATCATACTTAAGTGCTGCAAACTGACTTTGTGTTTCTACTCAGTGGTATATAGCAATCCTTGATAAATATCCCCCTAGTATTACTGTAGCATTCATCACCCTCCACAACTGAAATACTACTTGCTCAAAACGAGACACACACACACACACACACACACACAGAACAAAAAGTGAAGGTAGGCTTTCAGTTTTTGAAATTATATTTCACTGAACTTTAAGCTACTGTATGTTAAAATGACCCTTTTATTAGTTACCATTCTTATTTATTCACAAAACTAAACTATCTGCTCAAGTATAATACAAATTCTTTAAGCTGCATCCACTGTGTAAAAACAATTTCAGAAATCTCACATTTTATAATGAGTTTCAGCAAATAACAATCTACAGAACACTATCTGAGAGGGGTGTTATTTAAAATAAAAAAGGTATTTATACTTACTGTCACTATGAGCCAGGATTCATTTTCCTCAGATGTTTGCTTGCTAATATGGACTCTCTGTGAACAGTTTGCTTTTCTAAGCTCATGAAGGATGTGCGGGTTGTCTTACTAAGGCTTAATAGGATAACAAGTTCAATGCTTTTTTTCTTTGGACTTATCTACTTCTGTACTGTCAACCTTAGTTGGCAATGATATGCTATATATACCTACTTTTCCAATCACGGAGGCAAAAAAAAGGACTGCTAGTTATTTAACATTTAACAACTAAAGCAAATAAAAACAAATAGTAACTGAGCTCATTGGGGCTTTACATTTCTCAGCTTTGTCTGATAAGTTTTAGTCAATAAAATTACCTATACTAAAATTAAAGATAAAGGAGGGAACAATGCTGTTCTTGCTCCACTTCTTTTTCTATTTCTGTCCCTTAAGCTCAGAATCTGATTAGTATATTTAATTCCGTGAAGCATCATGACCCGTCTACCTTTAATCAGCCTGCTGACATCCAGCCCTTGCCCTTCACATGTTGTAGAACTCAAGATATTATCATTTACCTGTTTGGTAACGTTATGATACAAAACACAACACACGCTGTTCATTCACAACACTGGAAAGATTTTTCATGTTTACATGTCCATTATTGAAAAAAAGAAAAAAAGATGAGCATGCTTAGGGGGACTAAAGCAGGTTTATTGAAACTCTCACATTGCAATTTGAGCTTACAGCATTGCTAGTAGCATAAATTTTCTGTTTAGACTTCTCTATTTTTAATTTGTTATTATTTATTATTATATTTATTATTTACGTTTATTATTTGTTACTTTGCTTATTTAAAAAGACAAATATTACAAACTATATATTGAATTAAGTTAATTCTCAGTAGTGCTCTAGTAAGTTGGAAGAGAGAACATTTTCAGATTTTCTTCCTAATGAAACTGCGTGTATTATAAGCACTCTTTTTGCTTTGGGATCACAGTAGAAGCAAGAGAGAAGAAACTGAGGGATCATTATCACACATCACAAACAAATAACATCTATTTTTAGTGGCTTAAGGGATTATATTTTCTTAATATACTGCTTTATCATAGTGACAAGCACAGCTACAGTCTGGATAAGGCAAACAGCTCAAATGTTATGAAGGTACTACCCTGATCCAGTGAGGAACACTACACTTCGGTCCTTCCCTAAATTGTTCCAGTTGCTAATAACTACAGCATTTGGTTCTTCAATTAGACACTTCATATGTACTCTGCAAATCACCACGCCTTCACAATATTTCTATGCATAGGTGTTTCCAAAATAAACCTCAAGCTTATTATTTACAAACATGTCAAATCATGCTCATGAACAGCTAGGAAAGCTTTCACTTAAAATTAAGACATTGAAATGATCAAATTAGTTTCCTCAAATAAATGATTTTTATCAACTTTTCTGTGAATGGTTCTTACCTAATGATGAAGATAGAAAAGAAAAAAAAAGACCTCTGGTTTAGGAGGAAGTTTTTCACTCAGAAGGTGGTGACACACTGGAACAGGTTGCCCAAGGAGGCTGTGGATGCCCCATCCCTGCAGGCATTCAAGGCCAGGCTGGATGTGGCTCTGGGCAGCCTGGTCTGCTGGTTGGCGACCCTGCACATAGCAGGGGGGGTTGAAACTCAATGATCATTGTGGTCCTTTTCAACCCAGGCCATTCTACGATTCTATGATTTAGCTTTCAAGCGTGTTAAATACGTTAAAATTATAATTTCCAGCCATTACAAGTAAGAGATTAAAATCTTATTCACGATCTCAGATAAAAACATTTTCTTTTTAAACCAATTTTTTTCTGCTCTTTTCATTCTGTAAAGTATTGTTTTTGAAATTATTTATGAGCATTTTTAATAACACACTATATTATAGATTCTTAATTACAAAAACTGAATCTCAACATTGATTATGGGCACCTTCTGAGTTTCACACTTACAAACTCATTGCTATAGCAACCCACCAATACATATAATTTCCTACATGAAAAGCTAATATTAGAATGGAACCTTTACATATATTTTTAGTTATCTTAGTGTGATAAATGGTTCATCTTTATATAATCTATATTTGCTCTTTGCATTATTCTGCTTCTTCTACCTGCTCCTCATTCCCTTCTTGTTCATCTTTCTTAACATTTTTCTCCATTATTGTCCCATGCTCTCCACTCTATCTGTACGAAGAAGCTGCAACCAGACTTCCTTGTGTTTGATACTGATTTTTCAAAAGATTAATTCTGCTGACCACTTGCAGTCCTGCTAGTATTGATAGTCCATGAAAAATTCTCATATTACCTCTCCTCTGTAAAAGAGATCTTAAAGCAAAGCAGTGCATTGTTTTCTTCTCAATTTCACATGGCTCAAGTGATAACCTTATTTGCTTAATTTGTAGGTATGGGTGAAACAAGGATGAGAATAAAGCAATGTATGATTCATCACCTGTTCTAACTGTCAGAAGAGTTTCTTCCTTAAAAGCTTGATGTGTACTGCCATTAAAAAAAAAATTGCTGCTATAATAGGAATGTTGAATAGAAAGAAGTATTAGGATCTGTAGAACATTTTTAATGATTCCAGACTTACAAAGAATTTTGAAACAAATTTTACATTGATTAAAAAAATATTCATATTATTCTGAACATACAAAGCACTATTTAATAGTAAGCTAATTCTTATGACCCCCACTGCCTCCTGGCCATTTGTATTTCTTTTTATATGCTGCACCATTACAGAGTACTGATTCATAAAATAATGACATTAATAACTGTATACTTTTATAACCTTCCATTTCCATTTCATACAAGCTTATATTCCTTCAATAACAATAAATTAAGGCACAAATCTGAACTACAGCATTTAAAACACTTAAGTAAGTAATTAGTATATTGCCTTCTCAATCATACAGCTGGGGTTGATTATAACTCTATCAACTGTAAATTCTTAATAGCAGTAACAACCTACCATCCCAATTTCTATAGAACAGCTTTGTATTTATTTTCACGTCTTTTAAATAATCTACTTTTCTCCTCCATTACTCCGCAATTCCATTTCTGTCAGTCACTAAGTACATTATCTTATATAAAGACACTTAGGATTTTTGGAAAGATTTTCCAGTGCACTTTTCATAAACAGAGTGCTGTGTTAGAAATTTAAATTCAAGTTCACACAACTGATTAAATGCTGGCAAAATCAGACTGGGGGATCTGCAGGAATAAATGTTCTGCTTAGAATGTTCTTCATGTAAGAGATAAAAGGTACACCACTCAATGGTGCTATTAGCTCAAAAATAACTGTTACTGACAGGAGTTTCAACACTGAACATTTGTGTTTTCTGTGCCATGTAGAAATTAAAAAGAGGAGATAGGAAAAAATGAGAATACTAGTATGAGAAAACTGGAGGATATAAATGCAGAGTTCAGACTAAAGTAAAGGTTAGGCCTTCCTGTAATGCAGTAACTCCTTCCAGGGAGGGATAGAATCAACATCAAGAGCATAACAATGACAGACACAGTAATTTGATAAAAAAATCACACATGCAAAAAAAGTAGCTGGGCACAATAAAATATTCATTCTGTCTATATGTTGTCTGCTTCCTTGGGATATTCACTGAGTTTCCCTCAGTTTTCACTCAGATCTGAAAAAAATATGTAAAGATTTGCGTAGTATATCTCAGAAACCTAAGGAAAGAATTCACGTGGTTGCAGAAACAACAGATAAGCAGTTCTTTTAAATTCACTCCTAATTTTAGAATTCATTAGAAGAAAGAATTTAATTCAAAGATTAGCATTCATCCCAATCCAATGTTTTATCAACTGGTGTGCAATAGCTTGACTCGGTGGTACAAAGAACAAACGCTGATTTCCTTTAATGAGAACATCCACAACCTGCAATAAGAATACATATTTTTTTCCTTAGAAAAATTATAAGCCATACAGAATCTAATGTTGAATTAACATATGGAAAATGATGCAACAATTGTCTATCAGTCTATTGTTACTGTAGCCATTAAAGGGTTACTACCAGAGTCTCCGAGAAAAACGCAAAAAAAAAAAAAAAAAAATGCAGAAAAAACGCAGAAAATGTTGGATTCTGACATTTTTGAGCACAAATGTCCCCCAAGGGATACTTTCTTATTCATGCAACTGTGGAGATAGACCGTTAATATAATATTTAAGGTTTTTGTGAAGTCTCTGCACGGTGAAACCACCAGATGGTGCTATATACTGTTCATGAAATATTTTCTTTTTCATTTTAACATATGGTATAAGAGAAAGTATGTTTTGTTCATTTTCTGAAGCCAGAGTGAACAGCATGGGTGTATGCTTTTAGATTAGCACATTTCTGACGTGCACTTATGCCCAATTCTCGACCAATCTGCATATGACTTGCTGCATTAGAACTGATAGTCATTTAAAATAATGTTTTTAGCATTGTTAGAAATACACTGAGATTGTAGGTGGCTAATTTTGCCTTCAACTTGATTTGCAGAGTCACAACACCTGCAACTGCTATGCAGTTGTATAACGTTATTAGAAATTTAGCTTATAAGTAGTTTGTGGCAAAATCCAGTAAGACTATGCTGTATAAGCAATCTTCACATTTTCTACTCATGAACTCTTTCTGCTAAAGATCTTCGTTTTTTTTTTTCTTTTTTCCTCTGTTTCACTTGATCATAGCTTAAATAATCAGGAAATCTACATATAGAATTTTACATTAATGCAAAATAAATTACACTCAGTACTAGATTATTAAAAAACTCCCTAATGAAAAAAAGATTTAAAACAATGACTTCACAGAATTTTTATCTAAATCTCATCTCCAGGCCCACCAAACTTGGTAGCATACTTGTTTGCAGTAATTCAGGTGAAAAATACTACTTCTGCCAAAACACAACACTTTTTCTTTATGAAGAAAACTAGGTTACAATAACTCTTAATTTGGATGTGTCCCAAAAGAAAAAGGTGAACAGTTAAGAGACAATAATGACATAAAACGGACTTGCCTGTGACCCAGTAATTACTGTGCTCCTTATGAGTACCTGCCTTTTACTGTTCATGTAATCTACAAATACAATGTAATGCAGCTACAGTATGATAAAATGGAGAGATTACTATCTCATTCAACTTGCTGAAAAAAGCAAGTATCTATTCTGCCAGAAGTGATACGACCACAGACTAATCAATACGAGAAGGAAATTAAATTGAACTTTACTTGTTCTCTAGTGAACCAGCGGGCATCCTCTATTTCATTCTTGTCAACTCTAATTTCTGTAGACACTGCAACAGCTAAGCAGCCAATCATTAGGGAGGAGGGCATTGGCCATGGCTGACAAGAGACATACTGAACATGGCCAACTTTGACTCCAGTTTCCTCTTCTACTTCTCTTCGAACAGCATCTTCTATTGTTTCTCCTGATCAAAAAGGGCAAAGAACAAAGAGCTGATGAAAATACTCCAAGCAAGGATTACATCCTGTGCTTTGAACTGACTCAAAGGATTTTAAACTGCAATAGACAATTACGCATAGACATCTAGTTCACGGATCAGGGTATAGATCTTCAGCTCAGGGCACAGAAGACTAATAAGGCTATCCACCACAGCAAAATGGAACTCTGAAAATGAAAAACTGTAATTTTTCCACTGCACCAACTATTTCCTGAATTGATAATTCATCATACATGCAACCTACCATTACCTGACACCTTAAAAATTCGGTAGGAAATACACTGTTCCTTAAATGAATTTTGAAATGCAGATCTGTTCATTTAAAAACAGCACTGTGTTAACTTTTAAGTTTTCAGCAAGAATGTAACAGCAGGTAGTCTAACTACTTAAAATGACAAAAATAGAGACTTAAGTAGACTTGTACAAAATTCTGTACAGTGTTACTCATTTTCTCTGACTCATTCTTCATTATCTTGATACATGTAGACAACTCTTCAAACTTAAACTGCAATGAAAAAATCTTTATGTCCACATTCATGGAAGATTTACAAGGCAAAGATTCTTTACCGAGACAATGGTTAGGCAATGCAACAGACTCCCAAGAAAAGAGTCACAGCACCAAGCCTGCCAGAGTTCAAGTGCCTGACAGCACCCCCAGAAACATGGCTTCATTTCTGATTGGTGCTGTGCAGGGGCAGCAGCTGAACTCAGTGATCCTTGCAGTTACTGATGTGAGATATTCTATGACTTCTGGATGTGTATGTGGAGTGGAAGTGGTATTAAGCTTACATACACGCATATATAAGCATATACATGCTTTGCAGTATATGTCCACTGAAGCGGACAATCCATGCATCAGTGTTTTATTTGAAGATAAGAAACTTTTTAGATAGTTCAAACTAGTTCTGCAAGAACCAAACTTTTTTACTACAGATCACAATATACACTGATCTTCCTACACGTTCTGCTTTGTCCCGTAAGATAACTAACCACTAATAATGCAATCTTTTCAGTCTTTTAAGTCTTCTCATCCAATTAAGAATTAATTTCTGAATAAATTTCAAGATCTGTGGTTATATTCTTCATTTTCTTTACTAAGCAACCAAGTATTATTTCAACTAGCAAGTGAATTCCTAAGAGATAAAAGTTCTAGAGGAATTAAGTCAAACTGATCAGAAACTGCTAGGATCAGTGATCTTAAATTTCAGTATATACATTTGAATCAGTATCAGAAAGTACCAAAACTGGGGGAATTAAGAAAGGAGTAAAGAAATAAACCACCTAGCTTTTTTTCAAATGACATCAGCTTATTCACACTCTTCCCTTATTTCATTTGCACGCAGCTACTGAATATAGTTCAGCATATAGTTATTTACTATAAATTACACTATAGCTAGTGATTAAGATGTATTCACAGTAGAAGAATGTTTTATAAATTATTCTTCAACTAGCAATAATTTTAACTAATTTTAAATATTACTGCTGAACACAGCTAGCAAAATCTCTTTGCTTTTCCTTGAATATTATGAGATCTCTGCTTATCTTCCATATGACCAATCACTTAAGCATAAAGCGGAACTCTTATTTCTCTTATATTAAAACCTTTGGTAAAGGTTTTGTAAAAATCACCAAAGAATCACTCTTACATGTATTTTAAAATGTTTTTTTTATCACTTAATACATGATTTAGAAGTGTATGATGAGAGAACGATTTGAAACCTTTATTTACTCAGTTGCTTTTTTTTTTTTTTTTAAAGCAGCTATTGCAGAACACACCATTGGTATGTTTATTATTACAACTTATCTAGCAGGAAACAAGAATATTTATTTGACATAACACAGAACAAATTTCTGAATTATTTACAATGTATAAAACTGGTATGTGGAAAACCATCTGATAAGGGAAAATTACTCACCAGGTTCTACAAATCCAGCAAGACAGCTAAACATTCCTGGGGGAAGCCTCTTCTGTCTACCTAAAAGGCAGTGATTCCCATCCGGGTGAATGACTTGCATTATCACAACAGGATCTGTAATGGACATTAAAGGAACATATTTCAACTTTTGGAGGACTTAAAAGCAGCAAGAAAATCCAGCCTGTATTGAAGTATATACACAAATGTGTATACAAATCAGAAAATTTTAAGTGCCTTAAATCAGAATGGTGTAAATGCTCAGAGCAAGCAGTTATTTTATTTTGCTTTGACTGGTTGTTTTTTGTTTGGCAACACAAATACTTTGTGTAAGCACTTTACTAGCCAAGGTTATGGCACAAATTACCTGCAACCCCAGCATACAATCTGTTAAGAGTCCAAAGGTACTAACTTAGCTATGCATCCAGCAGATAGAAACAATTTCAGTAACAAGTACAATTTACTATCACCTCCTCTAAAGGCCTGTAGGGTGTAGTTTCCACTTAAATACACAACACAGAGCCAGGTACTCTGAATGCAATACTGACTAACCTTTCCACTTTCACTTGTTTGCTGTCAATTCCTTATCTGAAGTTGCATCTTTTCAGTCCTGATAATCTTATGCACCTTTTTCTTTTTTGCTAAATATTTTCTATCGATATCATTATTTTTGTCATATGTTTCTGCATACTGTTAATCTACCTTCTTCCCTTTTTATTCTCAATTATTCCAATGTTTTGTTTTAAAATGTTTCTGCCTCAGGTTAACATTTTCCTCTTGCTATTGTTTTCCAGAACTTCTCTTTTTTATTGTCCAAACTGCTTGTATTTTCTCTGTATAAAAATGTTTACTTCAGTAATTATCATAGTCAGAGATCTCAAAATCTGTTGTCCTACTTGGAGGTACATGCCACTGGCACAAAGAAGAATATGCAGTACTGCTGTCTGCTTATTTGCTTTTTTCAGAGAAAGGCATAAGTACACTACACCGATTTGGCAGTCTTTTCTATATTCTCTCACTCCTTCTTTAAGTCTGTTGTACCAGAACTATACATGCAAAAGAGAAGCATAGGTAGTGGAAGGAAAGTTGATACCGTATCATGCAGGAAAAAAAGGGTTATTTTCATTCCTTATTATCTTTGCATCAATACCATAGCAAGTATAATAATCTCCTTTGCAACACGTAAACAAAACAAGCCGCAGAATAAGCTTATTTTCTGAATAAAAGTAAACCTGGCAGCTTGCAACTGAGAATGAAGAGTCGAACCAGAGCAGAAGGTTAATGGTGTCACCAACAGAAAAATATAAAATTAAATCCTCTGGATTGTTAATATAATTATATCATTTATATTGTTGGAATTTCTAACTACATTGCATTGCAATAAATGCTGTTATTGTCACTGTCATTTTTTGTCATGCAATAAAGTTAAAGAGAGAAATCTGAATTTTGTAATCCTAAATACAGCTGAAACATGCACCGTCTGGGAAGAGACAAATACATAAGAACTGAACAGCAATTGAAATAATTAAAAAAAAACACAACACCTGAGCAACATGCACTTCGTAACATTTGAACAAGCTTATCTTACAATATCCTCACCAACTCTTGGATATGACGTGTTATGAACACCTTGGAGGCTGGGACAATCTTCTTTTACACAAGTTTTCTTGTAGCCACCTTCTTCAATCCTGGTTGCGCTCCCACAAGTTGGGCAGAAACGGTAGCGGCTGTGCCATGCTAGAATAGATCTAGCCTGGGCTACTACTCCTTTCAAAAAATAGATTAAGAATGCATAAAAATCACTAATTCATTTAAGCTCTTCCAATTAGAGGGAAAAAAAAGAGAAGTATTAAAGCCTAACGTAAAAATTGAAGTAGGCTACGGCTTAAACTGTCATCAACTGCATCACAAGTTGCATAATGTAAGCTTTTTACATATTTTTATTTGCAGTATAGCATATGGAGTACAATGCAGTATGATATAGATACAGATCAATTTAGTTAAGATATTTGTCCAGATCAACATAACCTTTTCTTCACTGAAATTTCTTTGTCTGCATGAAGTGCCAGAACTGCATACCACACTTTATCTAAGGTGAAAAAGGCATTTACTACAGGTATCTTGGCATAACAAGGTATTGACTGTCTCATTTAAATTTGAGGTGCAAGTTGAGTTTGCCCTTTATCCTTCTCTAAAAGTGACCTTATTGCAACAGAGCTGTTGCAACATGTCTGTGGCATTCATTTGAACTTGGGATCCCAACCTTGCAACACTTGCTCTCAGTTTTCTCCTCTGGCAAATATTTAGCACACCATTACAAAGGACTTGTTACTCATCTTCATTACAAGAAACTTTACAACGGATTTTTTTTTTCTTCTTCTTTTTACAGCATTAATGCACATGCATTGATATTAAAACAGTGTTATCTGTAAAATCACGATAATTAATACACTTAACAGTTTACTACTCACAGTTGCAGATGTTAGCACTTTGCAACTGCAAATTTTTACACATAGAATTCTTCGTAAAACCACTAACAAGACTGTGAAAATTTTATTTTTTCTACTGTCATTGAAAATACCTGATTACTTTGCAGCAATTTGTCCTTGCAGCATACCTCAGTGAATAAAGCATATCTTTCTGCTACACATTTGATTACTGTTGCATTTTATGCATCTTACCAGCTTCGTTTTCAGGTAGCTGCAGTAGTGCTGGCATCAGTGGATGAAGAAAGTAACAGTCCTCATGCTTCTGTTTAAATCTCTCAGCAGAAGTAGGATTTACGCTAAGAGCAAACCAAGCAATGAGCCCATCATCATCATCACCTTCTTGTAGGACCTTCCCATTGTGAGCAGTCAAAAGACTTGTGTGCAACTGCAGATCAACTCCAAGAAAAATCAAGGTGACTTCATCAGTCTGGCTCATGCAGTGTTCCACATCCTTGTGGTGCAGTCTGCAAAGCCTGACTTCTGGCTGCTCCAACTTCTCTGCTCCCCCACTCAGAGTAACCAATGGACTTAGGTCTGAAAAAAGTATGTATACTGTAGCTGGATGGCTCTGCTTTTTGCTTAGCCACTTGGAATCTATTCTTTTATCACTTCTTCGGTCCAGAAGCGTTGTGCCAAAATAATTTGAATATCCTTTCATTTCAGCTGGCAGAAAATCAGGCTTCTGTCCTCCTTTTGCATTAGCCAACAAATTAGCAATGTGCTTGTACCCCCAAAATTTAGCAATGTCCAGAGCTGTCTGCCTTGATTTATTAACGATGGACTTATCACACCTACAGAAACAGAAAAGAACAACGATTAACGGAGTGAACTTTTTCAGGAAGAGCTCCAATGCTGTACCATTGTTACAGCACATAGATCTGATACCATTGAGCTGCACCAACTTTTCAAAACTCAGAATCAAGGGCATTCTTCAGGCTATATGTTGATGGTATTAAAAAATGATTGTAGTTTTTATTTTGCTATGGTCAAATCCCTCATTTATGGTGCATTTTTGACATCACTTAGCACGGTTCATGTAGTACTACAAGAGTAACCAATTAATTAAAATCCCAAACACTGCAACATGCTGTCCTGCCCTGCTAGAAGAAACAAAAAAAAAAAAACCAAAAAACCCATTGGCTCAAGACTCTTTACAGGGGAAGTTTTGAAAGGCAAGGAAAGAGCACTCTTCTGGCTTACCAGCAACACAAAATTTACTAGTTTAGCTAGCACAACTTTCCAGAAGCTACCAGAGTAACCAAAACACTTAAAAACCAAGTTTACCATTAAGAAAGAATGAAGAATATGGCCTGCTTTTAGCGAGTAAAGCAGCACTCTGTTAAGCCTGGGACATAAGCTGGCCTGTGCAGATCTCTTTGTTCCCAAAACAAAGCAGAATGAAACATTTGGTAAACCAGTGTCTCATTGTAAATATTTCAATAAATTAAAAAAACATATCTGAAATACATTGAGGCGAACTGGGGGGTCACTCAAACAAGAATAAACTACTGTTTTTATTTTTATTTTTTGTCAATTTTAAACTAAGTGGCTAAGTAAAACAAAACTGTAATCTTCAAATTATACAAAAGATGCTGTGTCAGACTTATCAGTTTTTAAAACCAGAATACACCAGTGCATTCATGCTGCTGATACACTGGTAACTTTATCACAGGCAGGAGTGCTTTTACTTGAGACTCCAATTAAACTAAATCCTGTCTGAGAGAGTTCAAACATGTTGTGGGAAAGTATTCAAAGACTAACATAAAGGCTCTTGGTGCTAAGTGAATTGATATTGCTCATTTATCTTCAATTTTTTTTTTCTTCTTACGTTAAAATCTTGCCGTGTTTTCTACTTATTTTCTTATCACTGAATTTCATTCCTATTTTATCTTCTGCTTTCTGCCTGCTCACGTCCATGCAGACTGTGATGAAACTGCTATCCAGTATCTTCTGCAGTGGCCCAAAATTTTCAGATCACCAAGATCTTTCTTCCAGTCTATAAACACCTCTTATAGCTTTCCTCAAGCACGGATGAATCAAAAGAAATAACTCAGGCTTAGTTTGTGGAATGTTATACTAACTGTACCTTGCTAGTTGTACTTGACATTCATGTTTACACATCCAGCAATTGCGTTTTTCCACGCCTGCTATGTCTAAACATTACTGGTATGAAACCATTGAGGCTGCAGTAACACATCAGTAAATATGGCCTAAGAGAATGGCCATGAAAGGGGCATTTACAAGCAGAAAATTCCTTCCTTTTTTTTTTTTTTTTTTTAATATTAAGTAGAACTTCTGTCAAGCTGACAACTTCTCCAAAATCTCAGAGGGCTCCTCAAAAACACAGAGGATTTCAATCTACAATATATGGCACAGCAACACTGCTCTACTTGCTAGAATACACTAATTATGGTACAAAAGAGCACTCCACAGTGAGCCCCAGCAGAAGAATGTACAGTACCTTAGTAGGTCTTAAAAATAAGGGTGAGAAGATCTGGGAGGATGTAGACAATCATTCATAACCACAGAATGAACTAGTCTAGTTTGGCAGTGTAATTAGGGGATACAGAAAGGAACTGACTGGTCTTCATAGAATCACTGAGACATCTGGATTGGAAAGGACCTTAAAGATCAAATAATTCCAAGCCTTTCTGCCTTGGGCAGAAATAACTCCCAGTAGATGTGGCTGCCCAGGGTCCCATACAGCTTGGTCTTAAATGCCTCCAAGCACTGTGCCACTCAGATTGCCATCACCCATGAACTTGCTGATGGTGCATTCAACCTACTGTATCTGTCATCGATAAAGACGTTAAAGAACACTGATACCAATACTAAAACTAGGACTAAAACTGAGGGACACCGCAGAGGTCAGCTGACCTCTTGCTCTCATTTTGGAATGTTACTCATTAGAAACATCCTAGCTTTATATGGGCTTCACAGGAACCCTGAGGCTTCAAGACTTCTGAAACGTTTTCTGCTTTACTCAGTGTCTTTCAACACCAGAACTATAGGATTTGACTTGAGGACAGATAACAAAAATTAAAGTAAATCCTTAACAAGCAAAAACATATCTCGTTTCACATTGATCAAAGGGGGTTAAAAAAAAAAAAAAAAAAAAACAAAAAAAAAACCAAGACATCTTAAAAATAAAGAAGTGTCTGAAAAACAATAAATAAATGAAATTTAGCAATCACTGACTTCGGTAAAGGCATGTCTATCATGTCCAAGATAGTGGTCAATATGCTTGCAGATATTCTGCAATATTACTGGTTCAAGTGTATTACAATTAAACCTGAGACAAAAAGTTTAAGTGGAACAATTAAACGTATCAAGTTTGTACTCAGAACAGTACTTGTAATGGGATTGTAACACCATAATTTATTGTACTGTATTGGTTTTTGGGAGGAGTGACCCTGCCTTTGAAGATCAAAGAAATCCTCACATAGTTGAAACTGCTGTTAGCAAGTATGGAAATCATGACGCAGTAGCACAATCCAGTTATAAACTGACAAAAATTTCTGAATTTTAAGCCTGAAAATTCTTCTGCTATCTACCAAGTAAATGTACTTATCTGATACTGCATTTAAATGAAAAGAAAGGGACTGAGCTCCTCAGTGGGACCTACTGAACAGCTTACCCTCCTTCCAGAAGAATCCGCACAACATCCAAGTGTCCATTTCTTGCAGCGTACATCAGGGCTGTCCAGCCGTTACCTGCAGTCGCATTGAGCAGTGATGGAGAACGGCTGAGCAATGCTTTCAGCCTGGCTGTGTCTCCAACCGCAGCAAAATTATGCAGCTGGGAAACCATTTCCTGATGGAAGTTCTTTTCAAAGTTGGTCATTGTCTCAACTGAGTTAGAAAGCAAGAACACCTAAAAATATGCTTACTGTTAGCAACATGTTTTAAATAAATGAAGCAAATTGTTAACATCACACAGATAACCCTAACTCCTGTCACTAAATTATGGTAATAGCCCAATTTGTGTAATTAGAACATACTTGTTGCCCTTGAGCAAATTTTTCACCTCTCCTATCTGCAAGCATGATAAAATTTTACCTAAACAAATCAAAGTTACTTTCAAGGAGGCTTAAGGAGAGAAGAACCTTGCTGCAAAAATGAAATTTCCTTGAATACAAATACTGCAGTTTCTGAGCAAACAAACTGCAAATCCAGACTTCTGAAAAGCACCAAACCCAAGAAACAAACCCCAGGTGCCTGGGGAACAACGGAAGACACACATAAGATGGGTCCCTTTCCAGAAGACCAGACCACCCTCCTCTGGAGCGATCTTTCCTAAGCTCTGCTGCGCAGCCTGGTCCATTTAACTGCACCTACGGCCCCACGGTCAGTCCGCCCGCTCCCTGCACGGCCCAGCTCCGCGCACGCGCAGCCCGCGCTGCGGACGCACCCGCCCCGCTTGCTGCAGCGTCACCAGGGCGCTTCGAGAGCCGGCAGGGTGGAGCAGTTGCGACCCCAAAAGTCGTGGCTACGGACCAGCCGCAGGCGGGGGAGAGTCGTGCCTGAGCCGCTGTTTATCTTCCGGTCCCGCACCCGCTGCAGGGCCGAGCCGCCGGGCGCCCCGTTACCGTCAGTCGGGCTGCGTACGCACTTCCGCTGCGGAAGGGGCGCGTCTCAGGCCGTCCCGCCCCGCCCCCGGGGTCGAAAGGGCGCGCAGGGGGAAGGTTGCTCAGTACCGAGTGCTGTAGGCGGCAGTTCCCGTGTTGTGTCTGGTTACTCTTTGCCAGATAAGTTATTTAGCTACAGAAAGCAGACTTTTTTTTTTTTTTTTTTTTTTTTTTAGGTTGTCTTTTGCAAGGTAATAAACCACATTAACATTAGAATGTGCAGTAATTGCAAGAGATGTGGAACAAATGAGGTACAGCAGGGGACAGCAGTTGAAAGGGGAGCTGGAATGCTGGCTGTCCCCTCTCTGCCTTGCCCTCGTGTGGCCCCACCTGAAATACAGCATCCTGGGGCCCCCAGCGTGAGAAGGACTGCAGCTGTTGGAGTGGGTCCAGAGCAGCCCGGGAGTTGGACTGTGCATCTCCTAAGAAGGAAGGTTAAGGGAGCTGGGCTTCTTCAGCATGAAGAAAGCTCCAGGGAGACCTAGTTGTGGCTTTCCAGTACTTGAGGGGAGCTTATGAACAGGAAGATAACTGACTTTATAGTCATATAGTGATAGGGTATTGTGATTTTTTTTTTTTTTTTTTTTTTTTTCCTGAGTATAGCACTGGAACAGGTTGGCCAAGAAGGATGCCCCATGTGGATGCCCCATCCCTGAAGGCATTTAAGGCCAGGCTGGATGTGGCTCTGGGCAGCCTGGTTGGTGATCCTGCACATAGCGGGTGGGTTGAAAGTAGGTGATCATTATGGTCCTTTTCAACCCAGGCTATTCTATGATGGTAAGGCCCTGGCATAGGTTGCCCAGAATGGCTGTGGATGCCCCATCCGTGGAGATGTTCAAGACCAGGTTGGGTAGAGCCCTGGGCAGCTTTATTAGCAGGATGGCAGCGCTGCTCACAGCACAGGATTGGAACTAGGCGATCATTGAGGTTCCTTTCAACCTGAGCTGTTTTATGATAAAAGCCAGAAGATAGTTTCAAAAGCGTGTGTGTTAATGTATGAAAAGCTTGGTGAAATTGTGACTATGCCAGTCCTAGGAAAATGCATGTATTTAACAAGCACTGCTTCCTAGCAGCATCAAAACATGAAAATTATTACTGAGCAAGAGCGAAGAGTGCATGCAGCCTGTGATTAGTGAGAGAAAGGGCACTCAGAACTGCTGAACATGAGCTGACTGTAAGCATCTTCGTTGCCTAACATCTGCAAAAGGAAACATCTGGGGGAACAGAGACTTATGGTAAATACTTAAATGCACGTACAAAAACTCTGAAGTAAATTGTGTTTGGGAGCTCAAGAAGAATGTGCTTGTTCTTTTCAGTCAGTTTTAACCCACGTGAATGAAGCAAAAATAACACTGTGCACTGCAAACCATATATCAGGGGCTGGGCCAGACTCACCAGCTGTTACACAAGCTGTTTTGTTGCTGACACACTGGTAATACTGATGGGACTGCTGCAGTTTGTCTGCCTGCAGTGAGTGGTTACCAAGCTTTGTACTTGGCTTAAAAAAATTGTGGATAAATGTTAGTCCACCACCAGGTATTTTGAAGTCCTGATGCCAGTCTTAAGCTTTCAGAGAATAAAGGAAAAAATATTTACTTAAATCTGTTTGTTCAAAGATATTTTGGTTTCTTTTTACATGCCTTTGGAGTTATTGAGTCTGGTGGATTCATATTTTCAGGTTTCGTGAATATATTAAAACTTTAAACCCATAAGGACCAGACTGCTTTTGCTTGTGGTGCTTTAAGGAAACATGAGACGTACTCTCAACAGTGCACATTTGTAGCACTGAGTGAAAAGAATGAGAGAAATTGTGACTGGGTTCTGTCAATCCCAGTAGTGGCACAACTGCTTGTTGTGTCTTATATAGTATTGCATAGAAAAAATACAGCTTGGACTCAATTTTTAAAGCTCATAATGTTAGGTTATTAATTTTTGCAGTATGTTCAGTTCTGTAATTAGTCACTGCTAAATGATCAGCTGAAAGTACTAAATTGGAGTTCACATATCTATTACATGTTTTTTATACTCGACAAGTGAGCTTGAAAATCTGTGCTGTATGTTGTTTTGTACTCTTGTAAAAGCTATACTCAGCAGAGGGTCAGCTCTGTGAAATTATGTGTAGAAATAATGATGGCACAAAGCAGTGAATGCACATAAGGAACTGATAAGAGCTTTCTTCCAGATAGGAACAAATGAAAAGGTAAGGAATGTGATTTTAATTTTATTTAATCAGCTGGAAACCGTCTAGCCATACCCAATACGATGTGGGTCATGTACCCATAAATAATTGTTTCCACCTGGTGAAGAGCTGCCACCAGCCCCTCAATAGCTGAGTCCCACAGGCATTCTTTCTTCCTGTGATGATTAATGACTGAAGAAGGAAATAGCTTTTCACATTGTAATAGGCATTCAAAGGCACAAATTACTTCTTAGTAGTGTTTTAAATCTGCCATTTATGAAATTATAACAATGCAGACTTGTGTCGTGATCTGTGTAATAAAGTTACTGATCTCTTAGGTGGGCTGAAGCATTCTTTGTTCAGGCAACCAAAGCTTTTCTTGGAGCACAGCATAGAAATTTATTTATTTGAATGACTCGTCTTACTCTGTTGAAGACTTAGAAATTTGCTTTGCTTGTTTTTACAAGGAAACAACTCAAAAATGAGAAAGTATCCTAAATCCAAGATAGAAGATGAGATAGGAGACGGAGACTGGGTGTGTTGGGATTGTGAAAGAAGTGTATTGCTCAAAGTTCTATGAGATGAAATATATGCAGTCTCTTTAATGTTCGCATTCAAGTTAATGTGATGTATTTAAGTAGATTATATATAATCTGTGTACACTCACATACTTACACGTGGAAATCTTACTGTAACACTGGTACAAGCTATGTATGCAGCAAATGCTATAGACAGAAATATCAGATACCTTTCAAGGAGACTTCCATTATCTTCAGTGCTACTTCTCGCAGTCCTTTTATCTATGAAACAGTTTTAGAGGACCATTTGACTAGATTGTTTTCATATTTCCGTTTTCAATGAATTTATTAGGCTCTTTCTCCTTTTTCAGTATTCTTGTGTTTTTCAGAGATTTAAAAAAAAAAAAAAATGTGGTACAGTTCTGTGTTGCCAGAACTTTTTTTTCTACCTTAGAATACTTCTTATGTATACTTGAGTGTCTCTTTTAACATGAAGCAGCAAGATACATGAAAGATTCTTTCCTTTAAGCTCCTAGATAGAAATATATAGATCATGTATTGTATCTGTGAGGCAGATTTTTTTTAGTGACATCCGAATGCTTCTGCTTCCACTTTTTTTTTTCTCCATTCAAGAATTTTCCTTCAGAAATTATGACCACAGCAGCCATGCACATGTTAGATCTTACAAAAACTAGCTCTGTCTCCATAAAGAATCACTTTGAAGGAGTTCTCCTGGGAATTTCCTTCTAAGTTTCTTCCCCCAAAATTCTACAGACATGAAAGTCTTCTATCAATTTTAATACCGTTGAAGACTCCCTCAGTTTGCAAAATGGGAAGCATGGCTTTATTCTTGAACAATAAATTATTTAGATACAAGTTTTTGTTCCAAGAATCTTGTTCCTGTTCCTGAAGTGCAGTGTAGTGCAGTTCTTCCACTTTGGAAGAAAAAGCTTGAAATAGGGCAAGGGTCATGTTCTTCGTAAAATAATTTATGTAATGAGTTGCACGGGTTGTTTTTTGCTTCTTCCTCGTGCTGTTTTTCCTACGTAGAATAAGTAGTTGTTGAGGGGTCAGAATACAATGCTGATGATAACGCTACATAAAACCGCTAAACTGATTCTTGTTGCTCCAGCTGAGGCATGCAGATTAAACTGTATACAGTTCTTCCACATGTATTCCGTTTCCAGATTCCTCATTTCATGTATTAAACAATAATATGAGTTTGTATGGATCTAAATTTTAGATTCATTTAAATTGTTTTAAATAATGTTTTAATTCTTTTTTTTTTCTTTTTTCACATCTGGATCTCAGATAGAAGATTTAACGTGCCCACTCATAAAGTTTTCATTCTATAAACATGACTTTAATGAGAGATGTATATTGCTTTTAATGCTAGTTAGAACTGTGGGTAGAAAGGCCCTCTTTTCTCCATCCGTGATTGAAATCATATGGAAGCAATTTGTGATTCTGATGTTCCTGAGCCATAAATCCTCAGAGCCAAACTATGTCTTACCCAGTTCTCTGTGTACTGATTTATTTGTTTCACTGTTGCTATTTCCTCGGAAATAGTTTTTCAGTATTAAATGTATGTAATATAGTCACTTAAAATTTGATTTGCTTATAATTTCTGTATAGTTTACTCATCTGAATATCCACAGTATTGTTTCTGACCGGAGCAACATCATCTGTATGATGTACTAATATGGGCAGACTCTTCCTGGAAGCCCTCCAAAAGTGTATGTTATGCACAACACATACTTTAGGGCCTGGTAGCAAAGAATTCTGTTTGTTTTGTGTACTTTCTGCTCCCCAGCACCCACCATATGCCTTTTACAAATTAGTATACTTTACACTTTGTATTTAATGTATCAGGGATTTGTTGTGTTGTTCCTGTGCTGTTTGTAGTACTAACCGATCTGTTGTAGGCAGTGGTGTTTTTGAATCATGAGGATTATTGCAGAAACTTGGGAATATGTGGTTAGAAATAAAGAGTTTCATTTTTCTTGTTGATGGAAGGGTACAGTCTAGGTGTCTTAACATGCTGTCAGTATTACCCAGCTCTTGTGACTGTAAGTAGCTCAAGAGAAAGTTGGGGCATCTCTGAAGATATGATTATAAAAGTAATGTAATGCCATTTGTTTTCAGTATCAGTGACTATTATAAAGATCTGAATGAGAATTTAAATTGATAAAAACATGCTAACACAGGAGTTTCTATACGTTTTGGTTCTGCTAGGAGATTCAGTTATCATGCTGGATAAAATATTATGACTTCCAGT